TAATAACATTTTGAAGCATTACTTGGCCTTACAAAACAGTTTACCTGCAGTTCAAAAAATGTTAACAGTGTCTTGACTGTAGGAAATGACTGCCCTGTATGTATCCCTTGGGGGTGCATGATTTCTTTCCTTTCATCTATTCTTTCTTTCTTTTCTTTCTTTTTTGTATTCATTTTAAACGAGGGAACCTATCTTGAAAGGGGTAGTTTTCATATTCCATTGTATTCTGTGCTGCCAGTGTTTGTTTTAGCTATGCTCCCGCGTTTAATAGACATTTGACTTCATTCAAGACTATACTTCATTATCTGAATATCATATAGTCTGTTGCCTAAAAATATCTCCCTAATGAATTGACTCTGATTAAGTTATTCCATCTTGATTTTATGGATAGAAAATAAAAGCTTTAAAAAAAAAAAGAGGACAAAATAGATACCTCTGCCTGTATATAGTTTACCAGATGTTATTTTTCTGATGAAAATAATTCAGTCTCATTTTTTTAACAAAATAGAAGTGATCCTTTTACTTTTCATAAGAACAGAATCATAACGTACTGTGAGAAAAACTATTCTTGTTTTAAAGAAACGAAAGAGTATATTATTGTTAAACAAATACACGAAAGATAATGTTTATGTACATGTCACAAACATGGCAAAGCATTTATTTCATTTTCTGTTAAAATACTATGCCTTGTTTCTAGCAAGTAAGGCATAGGAATAATGGAAGGGATCCAGAATTAATCATTGATAGACCAGTAGGGTGGAATCCATGGAACTAAAGTCAGTCATGATAAAACAACTCTGTGTAAATTCTGTTTTCAAAGCAGAGAACTCCCTGGTCAGCATTAGACTAGCTATTGGTATGCTCATTCAGAGTTAAAGGAGGCTATTATTAAATGAAGTTTTACTTGACCTATAGGATTTGGAAAATTAATAAGCAGTCTCAAATGTGCCTTTTCTGACTTAGGTGATTAAAAATGTGGCAGCTGAGCAAAACCAGACACATCAGGAAAATACTGTTTATCTGGACTTATGTGACTCTTTTAAGCAACCTTTTTGCAACTGAGAACAATTTAGTTGTTTTAGTGAATTATCTGCAATAGAAACTGGATGCAGGCATTTTGGCTCTGTTAAGTTTTTTAGGCTTCTTGGTGGTTTTCAGTGCCATTGGTATTCTTCCTGGACCTTGAATTTAGCCCTTGAGAGCACAGTTTGGTCATCTGGTGCTGTCCCTCAAACCATGTTAAGAAAGTAGTAGTGAAAGACAAATGTTATTTGGCTACTTCTTGTCCCCTGTGTTATTTAACATCAATATGAAAACAATTATGCAGAGCACTGAAGTAAGTGGTGTCATCCAGTCTTCTGCTGCTTGTCAACTAAGTCCAGGAAGCAGTTGATTCCCCTTAATAATAATGTATTTTAATAATCTAAATGTACATGAACTTAAATTTAGATAAGAGGAAGATGTTTTAGACTACAGTTATATCATGGTTATCTGTACAAGGAAGGGGAGGGAAGCATAGAGGGTCAAATGATGAAAAGTATATATTGATATCATGATTTAATGCTGTAACTTGCATAGTTGCTTCAGTTATTGAGATATAAGTATTAGAGGCAGCATTTAGGTGATATCACTGCACGAATATCACTGTAGTGTCATAGTGATTTGGTGTGCATGCTGTCATGGTCAGTCTATCGTGTGTGGGATTGCACTCCATTAGAAAGAGTGACTTTGGATGTGATGCTTGATTTTCTATTGTTTCTGGATTTCCAGGGGGCAGCAATGGCAAGGAATCCATTGGCGCAACACTTAAAAAGTTAGGGTTTTTTTGATGAAAAGATTAATTCTATTAGCATTATTTTTAGTGTCACTCTATGATACCTAGACATAGGTATTTGAATATAGACCTTTTTAACACTCATATTTTATTATGTTTAATTAAGCTAGGTGAAATGTTAATATATTTTGCAAGTCCATGTATAATATGCCATAACCTAAGTAAATACATTTAGTATGTTGTAACAGTAAGAAATTCTGTTTAATTTTGACAAACTTAAGCTCTGTGAGCAAAAAATAATAATTCACAGAAATAATAATGAATAAACAAATGTGTTTTAGCTTTGAAGGAAAAATATTTCAACAGTATTATTGTAAAGAAAATGGGTTACTCAGTTTTCTTTAGTAATTATTATTGTTTTCCAGTGATTGATGAGAATGTAGCTTGGATAACTCAGTTGGGATCCATAATTACTGTTGGGCATAGTCAGTAAAGAGAGAGATTTGTAAATGTAGCTGTATTATGCAGGGAAAGGAAAACCTCTAGACACCATAGCACTGAGTGGACCAACAGTGTCAGTTGCATAAAATGTGCCCTGATTAGCTCTTGTGCCGTCTGCTATGCATTTACAAGAGAAGAGACATTAGCTTTGTGTTCTACAAATAGATTGCCCAGTTCAAGAGATTCTAAGATTAACAGAATAACAAAATAACAGAGTTGGAAGGGACCTTGGAGGTTCTCTAGTCCAGCCTCCTACTCAAGCAGGTGCCCCTCTACCATTTCAGACAAATAGCCGTCCAGTCTCTTCTTAAAAACCTCCTGCAGGGGGTTCCTTACATGAGAAAAAAATGAGATTAACTGGATGTTAACTTACCCATTGATATTGTGATATGGGCTGTTCCCCAGGGAAGGCTCTATCCATTGTGGAACTCGTTAGGTGAACCCTATAACCCATAAATTCAAGTCAGATTTTTTTTACATGTTATGCAGATACACACACACACACACACACACACACACACACACCAACCATGCCTGTTGCTTATAATCTTTATTTACAAAAATGATCTAGCATATGCAGATTTTGGACTGATTTTTTTTCATCCCAGAATCGACCTTTTTCTCCTCCTGATAAGGATTTTTATTGACTTGGGGCAGACTTGATGGACTGTTAGGTCTTTCTCTGCAAGCTGTGCCTAATTGAAGATTTTCATTATGTTACTTGTTTTTTTTTTTATATCTCCCATAAAATATCAGATATTTCTCCATTTTTATTTTTTGGTTAAGCCTTCTCCTTCCTTATATTACTGTGTTATTTCTTGATCAAAGTTTTTTTTAATGATAAAGTAGAGGCACATCCCCAGCTGTCTTTCTCATTATACTTTGCATCATTCTGTTGCAAGGTAAGGTTACAATAAGAAAACAGTAATAGTTCTGAATAATCAGTTCCTGCAAGATATTGGAGATTTGTACTGCATTTATTCCAAAATTGAAAATTTCTCTTTCTTCCCTTTCTCCAGAATCTTGTGGGTTCTGGAATCTTGTGTATTATGAGGTAGATGATGTTGAGTTCATTTTTAGAAAGGTTTCCTTCTGCTTTTTAGTTAGGCAGCATTTGCAATGTATTTGTTGTTGGAAGACGTTGGTACATAGCTCACATAGCTAGAAATTCACAGCATTCATTGTGGGCAGCTCATTTTTTTTTAAAAAAAGTATTTATCCATTTTATCAGAATAGTGATCAGATAAACTACTGTTAAGAAAAAAAAATCTAAAGAAATACTTCTCTCATTATACTGTTTAGCTAATTCACTTTCTAGAAATACGGAGGGAACTATGTTCTTGGATAACAAATTCAGGAAGCAATTAATTAAGAGACTTGTAAAGAGCTAGAAGTATGATTGCTTTACAATGCATTCACATAAAGAAAAAGAATTGCTATGATTTTCTACCAAGGACAACAGTAAAAGCAAAATTCTTTATGGAAAAGTGACTGCATTTCAGTGAGAGGAAGAAAAGTATTTCTAACAGGAGGTATTTACTTCCTCAGACTTAACATTTTTTGTCTACATCATCAAAGAAACTGTATTGCAGAATCATACTAGAAAATCACAATAGGTCTATAAAAGGATCAAGCATGGGATCTGAAATAATCAGAATTCTGGCACTCTTATCTGATTGGACTGTTTTTGTTATGCTATCTGTTTGTTGAAGTTAAAACCGATTTCTAAGGCTGCTTAAGATTCTTACCGTCTTCTGTCATACCATCTTCAGACATAGTCTGTCCATTCATATCCTTTGTGTTAGCATTGGCTTATTGGCATTGTGGTTGCATATATCTGATGCAACTGTAATGCTTATCGGTAAGAGCCTAAACCAAATTTAATTGTATTATAATATTTGTAACCGTTTTGGGTAACCTAGCTTGTGTTTGGGAAAATAACTAAATAAAAACTGAACCATTGGAGCCCAAGAGCCACTTTAAGAGATTGAGTGTTTTCTACACTGGTATGTAAGCAATACATCAGAACAAACTTTGCATTACTGTGTTTCTGCCTTGAATAGGCATTAGGACAGAACATCCCAAACTTTTTCAATTTTTGGTGGCTCTAGGGATTCACAGATCATTAATGCATTTATATGTAGGGTATTTTAAAAAAACAGGAAGTAAAAATATTGTAGTTTGGCAGTATATTTTAAAATTCTTTAAAAGTTATGCTTAATAGAGTTTATATATTTATATAGTTGTCCAGTTTATATCAAATTCTGCAGAGGTTCCAAATATCAATAGCTAATATTCATCTAATGGCCACAGAATTAAATACTGAGAGCATAATTAATATGCTTGAATGAAGTCCTGTACAATGTCAACATAATTTGGGAAAATACATACACTAAAACATGAATGAGTTGTGGAGGAGATCCTCCCTAGATCAGTTTCAATAATTATATTTTAATAACCATATTAGAAGAATTAAAATCTGTATATTGTCCCTTTAATTGCACTAACCCCTGGGAAAATTTTGATACATGTACAAGTTGTACACTCCCTGTATCTTTATATAAGAAAGCGGGAATTCATTTCCATTTTTATTGCTTGTTATTAGTTCATGACATTAATTCCAAATTGGAATTTGTTCAACCACGATCCAATATTCCATGTAATTTTTTGTGGAAGTTGGTGGCTTACTACTCTTTTATCGATTTCCCCTGTTCTTTCTTCTCAGGATTTATCAGGCTCCATTGATGACCTGCCTACTGGAACCGAAGCAACATTGAGTTCAGCCGTTAGCGCATCAGGTTCTACCAGCAGTCAAGGGGAGCAGAGCAACCCAGCACAGTCACCTTTCTCCCCTCATGCCTCTCCACATCTCTCCAGCATCCCTGGAGGCCCGTCCCCTTCCCCCGTGGGCTCTCCAGCTGGAAGCAATCAGTCAAGGTCTGGTCCCATTTCTCCAGCAAGTATTCCAGGTAAATGGTGGGCTTTAAATATATACCTATATATGTTCAGCAATCTGGGGTGCTCTGTTTTGTTTCTTATCAATATCTTGTGTGCTCTTCTCACTTCTCCATTCCAGGCGTATGTCACATTTTTAGTCATTTGAATAGAATGAAACACTTAAAACTTGTTCAGGAGGAAAACTTTGTAAATTCATATCTCCCTTCCCCTTTTTTCCAAAAGCATTGATCACCGACATTTGTTTTGCAAGTGTACAAAAATAAAACTACAATATTTTGTACAGTTACTATAAGAAGTAAGTTTCATTTTATTCAGAATGGATCCTATTTCTGAATACACATGCATATGTGATTGGGCTAATCTTGATTGTCACTTTCTGCCTCTCTCCCAGTTTCTCTCTTCTGATCTCAGTCAACTTCTGATCTCCTATTTAGTCTTGCCACAAGCTTGTCTATATGACATAGATTGACTTCCCCAATCTTTTTTTCCCTTCTGGCAAGTCATTATAAAACAAGAAGCAGTTGTATTGCTGATACTGTGTCAGCAATGCAAAAATTGAGCAGGGGGTATTTTTTATGAAAGGTTGTTAAAAATAAGGTGTTCTGTTTCCATGACTTACTGGTGTAAAAAAATTCTTTATCTCATACCTTTGTCAACCAGGAAGAAATTGATATCTAAAGAAGTATTAAAAGAAATTAAAGATTCACCATACAGAGGAGATGGGTAGCATACACATTTGAGAAATAAATGAAACAAAATAAAGAATAACCCTAGCTGAATTTCTAAATGCTGTGTTTGCCCATATGTGTGGTCTAATCATTTCCTTCTTCATTGTATAATTATTTATTTTTCATCTGGATCATGTTCATGAGAATGAAATTTCATTATGTTAATCACATTGTAAACATTGTCATTATTTATTTAATTATTTCCCCATTTAAAAAGCTGGGCATATAGAGCTGAAAATGGGATCCCTTACTATTTGATTCTCTCCCCATCAATAGTAGCTTCTCTATCGTGGAAATAAAACAAATTCATGTTATATAAATTTATATATATATATATATATAATTTAAAGTAGTTTCAGAACTTTATACAATGCAGATGTTACACAGTTTTTTCCTTGTTTATCACTCCATTTTACCACTATATTGTTAATTAATATTAGCAAAAGGAAATGCTTGCCATTTAGAAGGATGATCTCCCTTCCTCCCTCCCTAATAAAATTATAACTGAGGAGTGAAAGCTGACATGGCATTATATCAAAATGCAATGCTGATGCCAGAACATTTAGTGAGTGCTAGCTTGGCTTGTTTCCTAAGTCCAAAGTCTCAGTTTACTAACAAAGCAAAAATATTAAAAAGCAGGAAACTGGGATCACAACGTTCTGTGGCCAGCTCTCAGTTTCTAATGGACTAGTATTATGTTTTACCAGATGCTCCAAAAGCTCAGAAATGCTCTTTTCCAAAATCTAATTATGACATGTACAAATTGCCTAAAATAACCTCCAGCCTGTTTCAAGTGTAAGGCAGCTAAGCAGTCTGTATTAAAGAATCTCTTGAAGTCTTACCTGTCATTTATATGTTCCTCTCTTTTCCTTAAAAAGAAAGGAAAATGTATGTGTTCCTTTTTATTTTTTTTCTTACCCAACAAAAAATGTGTGCCTTGATAAAATTGTTCTTCTGAGTTTCCTGGTATCCCACTTGATTGATTGATTGACTGATTTTTTTATTTGATTTGATTTGATTTCTATTGCTGCCTATTTGCCATGGTTACTCAAGGCGGCTTGCAACATATAAAACCACAATTTAAAACAATAAAACTCATAAAATCAAATAAATTAATACAGCAAAATCACCCCCTCCTTCCCCCCAGTGACAGCAGATTACACGAGCCATTTAATGGGCTCCATCCCGCTCTGGGTTCCTCAGACCCGTTGGAAAAACCACTTGTTTTAACCATTATTTTGCTGAAGTCCTTTCTGGATTCTCATTTTTCAGTAGCTTTTGAAGGGAAATGCATACTGTATACTATCAAATTGTGTAAAAATGTCATGTACATAATGTAGTTTTCTTCTCTGATATTGTATACAGTAATTACTTAGCAATTGTGTATGTATCAAATCATATTCTCTTGCATGAGACATATTCATGTTCCTTTATATAGAAGCCCTATGATTATGAAAAAATATTTTTGTATGATAAAAGTTCACCCTATACCCATGATGGTGAACCTATGGCACGTGTGCTGGAAGTGGCACACAGAGCCACTTCTGCCGGCACGCGAGAGGTCACCCGGAAGAGCCTACTGTGCATGTGTGCACTGCATGCCCAACAGCTGATTGTTGGGTAACTGGTATGCATGCACGGGGGGAGAGGTTGCACAGGAGATGCACATGCATGCACAGAGACATGCGATGTGCAGGGGGGACCATGAACACATGCGCAGGGGGCATGGGGGAGCATACATTGCCTTCTGGGTGCTGGCATGTGAGCGCATGCGCAATTTTCGGCACAGGAGCCCAAAAACGTTAGCCACCACTGCCCTATACGCTTACTGTGAGCAATAATCTATAATCTTTAAGGCATTTTTAATAGTAGAGACAAGGCCAACAACTTGAGCCCTACAATACAAGTTTCTCTCAAACAAATGCCCAGAACGTAGCAGAGAATGGAACAGTAGAAAATAGATGCAGCAATCTTTTTTTTGACTTTAGAGTAAAAGAAGGGAGTTTTAGGCTAGTAGTTCTTTGGGCATATCATGGGATGATGGAACAATTTCTAAGTGCTTGTTTGTGATTTGAGGTTGTAATTATGGATAGCCTCTGTCCAGATGCTTGTGTAAAATAGCATTGTTTTTGAAGTTGTTATTTGAAACTGGGAAAAGGGGTTTTGGACTTAAACGCTTTAAAGAATCACTGAGTTAGGTGCTATGTAAGTAGTCATCAACTTACAACTGCAATTGGGGCTGGGTTGTAAGTCAAGTCACCCGTAAGATCAGAGACAAATGTATGACCAGATGAGCTTGATCATAAGTTTGAATCCACACACAAATGGGAATTTTTTGTCGGAAACCAGCAAAATATCATTAGAAACTGGTGGTGACCCTTTGAGAGCTATATGCAATGAAGATTTCATTTTAATGTATACCAATTAGTGTACATCCAAAGTGACAATAAAGTTATTTTCTATTCTATTCTTTAAAATGTCATAAATCATGGTTACATAATTGTGGAACGCTGCAACTGGTTATAAATGTGAGCTGGTTCCCAAATACTCAAAATGTCATATGGGGGGGCGGGGGGGGGGCAGTACACAACATTTTACAATGGCTGCTAATGTTTTATAGGTGATAAAGCATCCTTTCCAAAGCTATTATATCTCTGATCGGTCATTAAACAATCAGTTTTAAGGACTATGTATAAAAAGTAATTTTTTTAAATGCTTTAAATAAAGAAATTCTCTCTCATATTCTCTCTCTCTCTCTCTCTCTCTCTTTCTCTCAAAGCAGAACTATGTTTATTTCAAGTTAATTTCAACTCTAGCTCTTGCTAGAACAGCACATGTGCTAGAACAGCATATTTTACATGTGCTAGAACAGCACATTTTATTCCTATATCATGAAGGTGTTAGAATTTGAGTTTAAAATGGAAAACCTTTTAGTCTTATGGGTATATTGTTCAATATACATTATATAAAGGGAGCCAAGATATCATCTATTCTATTTTTTTTAATAAAAGTATTATTTAAGTTTTCACAAAACATACAAATACAAATAAAATATCTTTTTTTGAGAACAGCGTGCCCCGGGTTATCACTTCTCCATACAGACATAAACTCAATACATATTTATCTTATACATTCTAATCCATATCTTATAACTATTTTCACAATTTTTTCAATAGCTTTTCCCTTTCTTTACTTCCTATAGCCTTATTTTAAATTATCTCATTCCTTTCTTAATTCAATTACGTATCTTTTTCTAATTTTTAAAATCTTTCTAATCAATGTTTTTATACTTTCATATGTCCTGTTTACAATTTCATATTATCTTTTCTCATAAAACAAATGTTCCCCTGTAATTACTAGACTGGAGTGTAACACCTTTATATCTTTTCTCAAATCTTATTTAAAAATTTAAGTTACATCTTTACAGTTATAACATTCATTTTCTAACCTCTATTTTATAACACATACCTATTTTCAAGCGAGTTCTGCTTGGTACATTCCCTTAAAAATGCACACTAAATTCTTAAAAGAAAAACGTATATATGTATATATATCTGTGTATATATGCATAACAATAGTAAATGGAATAATTATGCTATTCAAGTACAGCTATGCCATTAACAATCTTTTACATTTCTATTTCTTTTAACAAACATTACCTAGTAATATCAGTTGTCTTTCACTTTAATCATCTATATTTCATATTTTATTTATTATTGTCTTTAAATAAAAAACCAAACAATAGTTATTAACAGTAGTCAATAAAGTTATTATTATTATTATTATTCAAGTTCACCTTATCAACTTATAAAAATCTTCCATGTTTCTTTTCAGTTTTTTTAAAACGTTCTTTTTAAATCATTGAGAGCCTTATTCTCTTTACAAACAAATATTCCACTACACATCAATAGAATTTTTTTCTATCACTTCAATCATCTAACATATTATATAACAATGCTATCCCATGCACCTTTGCAGAATCCTCTCCTTAAGTTAAATTTTAACTATTGTCTCTGTGTCTTTTAAAAAGGTTTATACCTTTAATTCTTGTACGTTTTTCCTGTACCTCTATATCTTCTTTCTGTCTTTTGTAGCTTCTTTTCCTTTCCCCCTTCCCTCTCTTCTTCTCCCTCCCCTTTTTATTCCCTTTTCTATCTGATTCTCCCTTCTGTGATCCTCCCTTCTGCTTCTTCCTGATGTTATGATTACTTTTCAAATTACTCTTTTTTTTGGTTGTTGTTTCAGTAGTTAAGTTTTTAACTCCCTTCCCCCCCCCTTTTTTT